ATACAAAATTCCTATAGTAAATGCCCAATAAAAATGTAAATCAAGTAAAAGTAAAAGCACTTTCACTATCCAGAGACACACCGTGTTTCCTTACGGAAAAGCAGAAGTTAATGAAAACAGCCAAAGAGATCAAAGGAAAAAAGCAAAAGAAGCAGATAAAAGCTAGCAGAGAGATGAAATAAATTCAGCCAGCCAGTTAATTTTTAAAGATAAAAAATCAAAGCAAAACAAAAGCTTTAAAAGTGAAGTTAAAACCAAGTTTTGCTTATGAGGTCAATCTGCTGATAGGAAAAGGGGAAAAAAAGACCAATAACTTTCCAGCTGCTCCCATGGGGAATTGCTCCTATGATTTCTCCTCCTGATTGTGTCCACAACCATCCAAAAGTCATCTTGTGTCATTCAAAAAGCAGAACTAGAACTCATTTTCCTGGTTTTTATTCTGGTGCCTTAATCATTACACCAACTGATTCTCAGTTTGCCTTGTACGCATTGTACAAATTTGCCTTATACACTTTCATTAGGTAAAATTTCTTCCAGATAAAATTTTTTATTAAATGAGTGAAGAAACTGCACTTTTTCAATCTCTTCTTAGACTCATCTATTAATATCTCTTATCAGCCTTCCTGATTGAAATAATAGCAAAATTGTAGTAGGACTCTTTCATGTTCCTTTTATTGTATCAGTAAAAGTATATCCAGAATTTAAAAATGAATAGAATAGTCAGATTCATGTTTAATATAATTAAGAGTCCACTTGACTTGAGCAGCTAACACTTTAAATTAATAATAATAATTAGCTGCTGCTGCAAAAAAAAAAATCACACATAGTGATTACAAACAATGGCATAACAAAATCGCAACAGTGGTATAGTAGAATATCTGCAAGAAATGCCATTTGCCGCCAAACAAGAAAATAGACAAAATAGTAGAAAATGAAAAGGCTAAAGTGCTCTTTTAGATTTCAAATAGATAAGCACCTGCCACATATCATCCCAGATTTAACAAATGAGACAGCAGAATAGAATAAGTGGAGAAAACCACAAAATGTAAAGACCTGCAAATAGAAGTGGAATGATTATGGCAAACGAAAACAAAGATAGTAATAATAATAATAATAATAATAATAATTTTATTTCTATACCGCCCTTCTCCCGAAGGACTCAGGGCGGTGTACAGCCTATTAAAAACACAGACAAAACAATGATATAAAATTTAAAATAATTAAATAAGTGGCTCAAATTTAAAACCCCAATAAATTTAAATACCCCAATTTAAAACTATTGTGTTGATAGTCCGGCCTGGCGGAACAACAGTAGTACCAACAGTAGTATTCCAGCTAGCTTCTGGCTATGAATCCAAGACTTTGAATACATTTTATATAAATCTTTATAGATGACAATTTCTAAATTGCTATATTAATATACATTCTGAAAATTTTCTCCAGGTCACATCATGTTGATTCCAAAATTAGTTAACTACCAAGTTTGGGCTTGGTAAATTCTACACAATGTTGCAAAGTTCTACATGGTTGCTGTCATGCTGCATAACCGTGGCAAAAAAATTGAACTTGGTTTCATTGGGTACTTATATGGATCTCTTTCGGCAATGTTTATATTATTGGCATTTAAATGTACTTTCTTTTGGTTTCTTTCTTTTTTAACTATGATTAAAATAAATTGGACTGATTATTAGAAAATTCCCCAAAGTATCCCTTCCTCAGGCTCCTTGGGCTGTTCTGGGCATTTAAAACTCCTTTTTTAAAACTTCTGCATGGAGATATACAGGTGGAAGTGGTTTTTGAAATTCTGAAATACTACCGCGTTTTGGCATACTTCATATGGAACAAAAGAGCTGGACAAGTTTCAATCTACATTTGCCTTTTTCATGATATCCTCTTTTATTCAAAGTCCTCCATGATTAGAGTTTCATCAAATCATTTGGCAAGCTTCTTTTTTTGGTACCAATAGTCATCCCCCATCCATTTGTTTAGCCGTATATTTCTCCCTGCCACTGAATTAGTCTCAGAGATTTTGGCTTCAAATTGGATGACGTTCCGGAAGGTCAAGATAATCCTTTCTCAGTATACCATTTTCTTTAGACTATTCTTCATTGGTTTAGAAACAGAATCCATAGTATTTATGGAGTGTTACCTCATTTTTTTTTCATACAAATACCTAGAAGTTCCCTGACAGATAACATCACTGGAGAAATAATCAACACTGCTATAGAAGTACAGTATTAGCTATTAGTAGCTAGATAATCTTGCTTGGAAGGGAAGAACTCTTCAGATTTAGCTCAAGAAAGATTTTATAGGATGTAGCGGCATTCATCACTTGTCAAAGAATTTCTAAAACAAATGCTTTAGCCAAATTGGCTTAGCCTGAATTAAGTCAGGAATTAAAGGAATCAAATTCAGCATCTTTTCTAGCTTTGCTTATATGATGGAGAATTGAAGCCTTCTGCACACCATGATCAATAAAATTTAGAAAAGGTCAGATGAGAACTGGAAGACCCAAATAAAAGAAGATGTATGTTATTCTACTAAGAGTTTTCCTTTTCTTTTATAAGATTGAGAGGAATCTTCAGAGCTGATTCACAAATAAGAAAAGTGATTCCAAACTTGTTGCTCTTTCCTTAGGTATTTCAAAGCTAACCTAGAATTTCTGGTTGGAATGATTATTACTACACAAGTGCAAACTGATATGTGAAATGCACAGGGACCAGAAGAATATTGTTTGATACGGCAGATTTTGTCTAAATAGCAGGAGAAACATCCCTGAAACAGATAGTAAAACTTCACAACTTTGAGAACTGAGAAATAATAAAACACACAGAATTGATAGCCAGAAATAAACAAACAAGAAATTAATAGATATATGAATTTATTATGCATTATAGAGTAATTATTCTTGTTAATTATAACACCCATTGTAAGTTTATATAGATAATTACTTAATTACATAAAACAGATGGATAGCAAAATGCTCCCAGATGGTGACACAATAAAACAAGTTGACAACCTACTGCTTATAATTATAAAAATAATAATGGTTCTCAAGCTAATTATACATACTGGTTGAACTTCATTTTGCCATATTGTCTATATATACATAACCACCCACCACACAGACATGCAGATACACACACGTATCTCAAAAGGCAGATTCCTGGAAAAAAACTTCATCAGAAGAAATTGTTCCTTAACAAGGACGTTTAACAATTTTCAATACGGTATATCTTATTGAAGGATCCAGTTATATCCCTACCTCCAAAGAATAAACTATATCTTCCTTGAGATTTCTCAAAATTTTCTGTCTGAAAATTTTTCCTTGGACTAATAAAGGAAGAATCTTTCCCTAATTCATTACTTAACTTATTGAGCTAAATAAAGTACTTTTTCAAATACTGGAAATTTCTATAGAGAGTAAGTATCCATTCTTCATTCTTGGAATAAAAATCATCCTGGGGTTGTAGATGAAATTAAGAAAATGTTTTGCTTTGAACTCTGTAACAAACCATTGCCTTCTGGAAGAGTAGCCACACTGTTTTGGGTTAGCCATTGTAGGACAAACCAAAACCCAGAACATTTTGGTCTTTCCAGTTTTGGAATCCAAATATGTTAAGTATGGCAACGCTGATGCATGATACTTCTCTTTCTCCTGCAGCTCCCAGCATGACTTGTCCTACTATTTCACCTACCCATGCCTTATTTATCAGTGACTTCCTTTCCCTCCTTCCCCTCAGCTGCCACATCTGATATCCCCACAAGATATATCCCACTGGTTTACCTATTCTCTGACTTCCCATTTTCTCTGCTTGTTTGTTTATTTATACTAAGCAAGTAAATTTGTAAAGTTTACATAAAATAATTATAATTATTTAAATTTATAAAACAAATCTGAATGACTAAACCAGTCTCTAGATCCATTAATATTCAGCTTCGTGAATCTCAAATTTTCAAAATTTGTGTACATTTTTTAAAATCAGAGAGCTGCACTGCAGAAGTAAAAAGCTTAAAAAAATAAAAACAATAGATAATTGCAATCTAGTTGACATATTGCTATTCTTTAATTTTTGTTTTCATATTCAGCTTGTTTTACTAGTACCAACACAAAAACTGTGTGAAGTATATACAAATATTGCATTATGTTGCTGAAAATAAATATTAATTTTAATCCTGCCTCCCTCAAAATTAAAAATACACTTGTATACTAAAAAAAGCTTCTGTGTTGGCTGTTATCCTTAAATATACAAGAGGCAACTATAAGAGCAAAAAATCACTAATATCCAGCAACTGTGTAAAGAGATCCCAGTTAGTTAGCATCATGAAAAGCAACAGATGGCACACTTATATGCATTCCACATTTTCATCCTCAAAGCACATAGACCCATATACCACCTGGCAAGATGAATAAGGAATTAGAGAATGTTAGGGAGGAAAGGACTACCAATAATGATTAATCACAATGCCTAAATGGAACCTGAGGAACAGTATGTCACTGAATACTGGTTGCTGAGACAGGACTGTGAATTTTCCAGGCACGTTTGGCTGGTCACTGCAGGAAATGGGAAACTGGGTTATACAAACCTGTGTTATGATTCAATTGGGCTTTTTACAGTGCAGAACTTCCAAATGCAGATAATCTATTTGATGTGATACTGGGGGAGAACGGGATAGCAAGTGCAGGACTGGGATTTATCTTCCTGGAAGGATCAAAAGGGCCTGATTAAAGTTTCATAATGCACTTTGCTTATTTTAATATAATAAAATTATTCTCTATCAAATTCTAATAACAGAAAAGCTACAGCCTGTAGTTGTATTTTTTAATAGAATATATAGAAAATCATACAGCTGACTGTGAACTGTAAGGGCATGAACATGAGGTTCAAGGTAATTAAGAAGCAGCCCAACAGCATTAAGGCAGTAATGTCATCCCATCTGCCAAATTCTACATTTAGCTGGAGCTATGCCTTTTGCTTGCTTCTGCTTTAGTTACCCACCTGGTCCTTAGAGACTTGTTTTGATGGAGCATTTATGCCAAGCTTTTCCAGAGGATAGACAATCTGTCGTCTTGGTCGCACGGGAACCATGTAATGTAGGGCAGATGTCAGGGAATGGGCATAGGGATTCTGGTACTGAAGGATAAAAAGCTATATTTTAGCACACAGAATGTCAGAAGAGTGCATCACAGATGTCTCTGATTTGTGAATATAATAATCCTTTATCCCTTTGATTAAAACCCAGACTAGTACTTCCCCCTCCCTCAAAAATAAAATAAACACTCACATAGTAGAGGAATCGGTTGCAGTTAATTCCCTATCCTAATGAAGATAATTATGAGAGTAATTATATTACTATCTCATTGGGAATGACAGATAAACAAGTGGTTTGGTTTATGGGATTTTGCAGCACAAGAAGCTTCCCCCAGAGGAATAATTTTCTTTACAGCTATCACGAGTCTTCTTCATCCAATCTTATTAAGCAATGATACATGCATACTCTTAACCTTTGCTTATTTTACAAAACAGATAAATGATAAACATTAAAGAGGTAAATGTCAAATGCTAATGAAATAGCATAAACACTAAGAAATATTCTTATGCTTACATAAATACAAAATAGGACTGATTGCAATACAGTGAATTCAATTACAGGCTTTATATAAATCATAGGAAAGATGTAATAATTAAAACTGCAATAATGTCAATAAAAGATCTAGAGTATTTCCAAAGCCTTTCTGCACATTCACTAAAGCTTTTTTTGTTTTAATTTTTCAAACTACTCCTAAGGATTGGGGAATCACACCTTCAAAATTTAAAGCAACACAGCATTGAAATTTCAGCTCACGGTGAAGAAATACAAACAACCTGTGCCCAATCCAGGAAGGATATAATATCCATTATGTTAGTTGTTTGTTTGTTTGTTTGCCATTCATCTTGCAGTGAATGACTCTAAGAATTTATTATAATTGGCAGAAAGTCCTCCTATCAAATCTGCTATGCTGGCTGATCAGAAATGGAAGTTGTCCACTATTTGTTCTCAGCTCCTTAATAAAGATCTTCAGAAATTACCAAAATTGTGTTTAATTGTTATTGCTTTATAGAATCCCTGGACTTAACTCTCATGTTTATGAAGGCTGTTTGGTTATCTCTGTTTCAGATTAGGGTAAGATGTTTATTGTGTACTATTGTGTATTCTTAAATTAATAATAAGTCTATTTGAGCTATCATGGGTGTCTTTAGATCCTAGACCGAGCTGATACTGGCTATTTTCCTTATAGAAATGACACTTAACAGGACAGTTTTGAATATGTTTTGAAGTAAATTCCAGGATTCTATGTAAGAGCTGAAAACTTTTAAAAATATTTCTCATTTTTTTTTACTAACAACAAAAAGGTAATAAATACAAATGGAGGGAGTACATTTTAATGAATCTGTCTCCCTCAGATCAAATATTAATTCTTAAATGTGTTTTAAGAGTGTTACAATGCCTATGTAGCAGCTTTGTTATTTTGTTTTTTTTATTTTATAGCAAATGTCTTGCAGTTTTTATTTTATCATAACTGATTAAAAGTCATTATTCTTTCTTTTATCCATTTCACAAATTACTATATAGTTCATACTAGAAGTGCATATATTTATTTTTGTGCACCAACCCAAAAAGTGAAGACACAATTAAAAAAAATAAAATTAATTTTTAAAAAGCTTGCAGCTTACCTTGCCTTCTATAGGTTGGGAATAAATAGGATAATAGAGGCAAGATTTGTAGGCTAACCGAAGTATCTCCTTCATAAAATGTTTGGCATAATGATGAAAAATTGGATTGAGAGAAAAATGGTAAAGATGGCCATGTTCTTCCTGCTGATAATGACTGAAATAGATAAAATCTTCAATGTTGTAATGTGAGCGAATATATTCGATGTCCTGGAAAATAATTCAGGAAGTGGTTAAGGAGGAATTCTGCATCTCTGCATCAATACTATATCCTTACTATACTATATCCTGCCTGCATAAAAAGAAATGCTACTATTAAGAAAAACATTCATTTGGAAATTCTTTCTGGTTTCTTTTCTCCTCAGATTTCTCCTTGCAGTGAGAGGGAAACTAGGATCCAGACCATGTGAACTTAATTTAAACAAATATATATTCTTCTCCAGCATTGTCTGCAGGATGTATATGTGTGTGTATGAAAACAAGAAGCTGATGGATGGAGTATCACAGTGCAAACTTCACTCTTTGTAAATGTGCTGAGGTTGCACAGATGTTTAAAAGGAATGGGGTTTTCCTATCTATAAGAATAATTGCAAATATGAATACATACCATTTCATTTCTAATAATAGATATTCCAACGATTTGATTCAAAACCTCTGCTACAAATGCCTGAACTGGTGTCCCATCCTGAAAAAAACAAGTAAGTTGGTACCAATTTTTTTCCCTTTACTAATTCAGAAAACATTGACTGACTGATTGGATTTCTATCCAGCTTTTCCTTCAGAAACCCAAGGTGGCATTCACTCCCTCACACACACCCCTCTTCTATTTTTCCCATCCTATAAAATGGGGTGGTTCTGGTAAAATTGCTTTAGTCCATAAGATTTACTGTACATCTCAGTCTTCAGACTTCTTGTCTACTGGAGTATTTCTACATGATGGTAAGTCTTGTATTAGTGGCAATGCAATTTAGAGATTGCGCTGATGTACTATATGCTATCCACAAGAGACAGAGATGATCTCAGACTCGGTGTTGAAGAGTTTCAATCTAGTGGGTCTTTAAAGAATTTAATATGCCTGCTTGGGCAGTTCAGTATTGTGTGTGCCAATTACAGGGTTCTCCCAGTACATCATTGCCTAAATTGTCTAAACAAGACAGAAAGATGATCATCTGAAAATGGAAATATATTATCTATCCTATTATCATGTTCCGATTACTACCTGCTGAGGTGAGGTTTAGTATTATGTAAGATGGATAACTAATTAAAATGATCCATCCCTCTAGGCTAATATACGTTTTCCAGAAAATTCCAGTGGATTTTTCAATTGATATGGCTGATGCTCTTGTTGAAGTGCTAATCACACATATGGAGTTGACATAGGCCATTGACATGACTCTACCCAAGGGCTCTTTCTTGTATTAATTTTTTTCAAATAGTTTAGACCGTAACAAGTAGAGCATAGTGAATAAAACTCATGCTGCTTTCAACTAAATATAATTTAGAGCTCCTTAGTAAACCTATTCTGGAATACTGAGGATGACAAAAAAGTTTTTTCCCTCAACACCTGAAATGAAATGAAGTAGGCAGCTGTAAGTAAAAGGGGTCTCTTAGATATGAGATCCTGCTTGTGGAATTTCTCTCCAGACAGGCATATCTCCAAGTACATTAATATATTTTAGTTCAGGCATTGACATTCTTATTCTCCAAGGCGTCTTACTGTTTTCTATTCAATCTGATTTATTAATTTCACATCATAATGTTTCTTTCTTTTTTAAAGAGAGTGTTAACTAGTCTATAATCTGCCCAGAGCATTTCTATTATTGAGTGAATTACAAATAATTACAATAAAATCCATTCACTATTACCTCCCTCCCCCCAATATTATTATAGCACTTACTGGATCTCTTCGTGCTGATAAGTAATTATTTAGGTCATCCAATATAGCTATGTTTAATTCCAGGGTTTGGATTAGTCTTTTAATGGCAAAGACATCAGTAGATTTTGCTGCTCTTACACCAAAAGACCTGTGGAAAACAAAACTAATTCCAACAATGATATCTACTAATATCTAATGTTTCAGATCCCAGACCTGAATAGGCAATCATGATATATAATGAATTTATGGTAATAATTGTCTATAAAGAAAAAAGGAAATGTGATTTATTTATTTATTTGATTTATGTGCTGCCCATCTTGTCCAGAGGCAACTCTGGGTGACTTTACAAACATTAAAATCTCTAGACATTAAAATGATAAAACAATAAATGACAACAATAAAATAACAACTGTTAAAAGTGGGAAGTAGGGGAACAAAAATTATGATACGGGGTTTTCATATCAAAGTTGGTTTGAGAGCCCATTACTGTATTCACAGGGAATTTAAACATATTGCACCTCAGTGCATATCAACACTATAAATTTTCATCAGCCTCATATCTATGCCTTTTCTAATACTTCATTCAATTTCCAGCTGAATCCTTGCCAGAAGAGATAGAAAACTCCTGTCAGTTGACAATACAAAACTACTAATTTTAGAAAATTATTCAACCTGTTTTCATCTTGCTGCTGTTTTTCAGGACTATTTTCTTTTTCTATTCATAAACAAGTTTCACAAAGAGCTGAAAAGAAAGTAGGTTTGAAACATGGGTACTTTTCTAAAAGAAAGAAAGCTTTACTCTTATGTTAATACAAAATTTGCTTCTATCTCTTGCATATATGTATTAATAATATAAAAATAGCTTCTGCATATGTAATTAGTTACAATAAGCAAAATGGGTTAAATAACCTTAAAAAATGTACTTAAAAATGGAGCACTTAAAAAAAAAAGACCTATTATGAAAATAACAAAGTGGGAGAAAACTATCTTGGTCTGTACATGCTCATTTTCCTCTCAGTAAAGAATTAACTCATTTTAGAAGCCTGAATCACTTGACTGTCCAGATGTAAGGGCACATTATTATTGTGCTTTGCATTCAAAATTGAAGAGAAGTATCCATTAAGCATTTCAGGCTACACCTCGTTGTATTATTATTTTCCAGCCCTCTCTCTTAAGTAGCAAACCTGGTATTGCATTTTCCATCTTCTGGTTATTGTATAAGGCTTTTCCTTTTTTTACAACCTTTGCCAATCAGTTTTTCATTTGGAGCTTTTCCCTTTATCTTGGTGAGTTTGTACTTTTAGTTCTCCTACCCCCACGCCCCCATGCTGTTTCCAGACAGTTTGCTTTTATCCATTTTCAGCAACTCACTTTCTATTCACATGTCTTTTAATTCACAGTGCAAACACATTGCATTGATCTTTGCTTTTTATATATATCTTCATCAAGAAGGGATTATTAGCACTAGCTTTTTATACTCAGATTTTTCCACTACTGCTCAGTTTTCCATGCACATCCATATTTTTTTCAGGAATTATATTTTAATCTGAGAGACTTCAGATGAAAACTGGTGGTCCAGTTTTTTCTCATTTCACATGAGTTTTCTCTCATTTCTCATTCATACCAAATCTCATCAATACTTTCATATTGTTGGTTCATGTAAAGGATCAAATGTTGAAACAGCTAAAATACTGTTTGTTTAATGTGGTTTAGCTATTTTAAGGTTTTATGTTTTATGCTGCTATTTTAACATTTAATTTAGCATTATTTTTGTTTGTTTGCTATTTTGTGAGCCATATTTGGAAAATGGCTGTTCTGTGACATTTAAATAGGTATTCAAACCTATGTATAGGATGGAGCATAATATCGGGAAGAATATCTGTACAGATATATTCATATTCAAAAGTTATTCCCAGTCCAGATATGCTTCTAGCCAGAGTATGCAAAATTGGTAATCCAATACACACCATTTAATCCAACAATACGGTATGATGGTCCATTAGAATTTAACAAATCTACATTTTAGTCCTTATACAGTATGGCATGGTCCATTGCCTTATAAGGCTTTACTAGGTGATAATCAGCACTTTAGTTGCACTCAGGAGTGAACTGATAACTAATGCAGTTCCTGAAGCAAGGATGACACTTGGGTATAATGTGGCATATCTACTGTCTGTGTTGCTGTGTTTTGGACAAATGCTAGTTCTGAGTGATCTTCAGAGGCAGTCCCAAATACATTGCATTGCAGTAATCCATCGACAGGTGACAAGAGCACCAGTATCTGCCTAAAGGGCTTCCCATTGTAGGAAATGGTATGCCTTAATTTCCAATGAAAACCTTTTATCTGAAAATAGTTGTGAGAGAAAATGTATTACTAACTTGAGCAATCCAGATCGGTGAAATACATATAGCTCCTGATCCAGTGTACAATTGCAGAAGGGAATAATCCTAACAAAATTCTGAATCAGGTGAAATTCAGGGACCATATGTGGCACTGTGATGATGCAGAAGTCTTTGTCCTAAAAAGTAGTAACAAATAAAAAAAAGGAACTGCAAATACAAAATATAGGATAAGATTATAGAAAGAAAGTTAAGTCTTTTCCCATTTCTCACTTTTCCCACTTCTTTACTAAACTTTTCTACATTCGGTGATTTCTCAGCAGGGCCTTGGACAAACTGTAGGCAGTTGAAGCATGTGCAGGGCAAGGAAGGAAACTAAGGCTGCCATTCCCTTGTACAATCAATCTCTGAATCCAAGCCATGAAAGAATTAACTAAATAAAAGCCACCCACAGTCTCCTCAAACTCCAAGCTGGGCAGCATATAAATTTAATAAATAAATAAGCACCATGTAGTTCTGCCTAGGATATTCATTTGCTAAGATGGCACTCTGTTAACTCATGCTGGTTATCAGGTAGCATTGAAGGCCAATGGATAGATACTATATTTATATACATATTTACAGCAAGAAATCAATATTATTACTGTTGCTACAATTTTCTATCATCAAAGGTCACCTGGGGTAGTTTGTTGTTACCTCAACAGAAAGGAAGAGGTGAGTATTGGTGCTCATTTTTAACAGAAATAAATAAATCAAATTGTCCTGCTTATGGTTTAGCATTGTGCCACCAAATTATAATGTGATAAGGAGCAGGAACAATCAAATCAGTGAGTATTCCATTGCAGACTTGTATTAAGTTTTATTAGAATTCCTCTAAAAATATTTACATTAATTCAAAAATTATTTGGTCATTTTTCCCTCAAAAACAATGTTGCCCTGTGCAAACAAGCATGACATTTAGCATATAATATTCTAGTAATTAATTTGCAAGAAATTACTTTATATACATTTAGGATGAAGAGTTTAAAACCAAAATGTCATACTTACTGGGAAAAGTTCAAAAACAAAATGTAAGAAATCCAGTGACCTGTAAATAAAGCCAAGTACTTTAACAGAAACATAGTATTTGCAGCATGTAAATGTACTTTAGCCATATCCCCCAACTAAAAACCAAATATACGCTGAAGCACAAACCAAAAAACTGATCAACAAAGTGCTTTAATGGATATTCCATTAAGGTCAGTAATAGTAATCCTCTTGCCCTTCGCATCAGAGTCTCTTAATTATCACCTCATTTTCTTTCTCCTTCCATTCACTGCAAACAAATACGGTACTTCTCATCCACTTTTTGAGCTGACTTTTACTTCATCATTCTTTTCTACAGGTCCTTCCTGTGTGCATTTAAGTAGAAAATACCTTTTATCTTATTGTTCAATTATGACCGGTTTGAGGAAACTACTAGGACACATTTTTCTTTGTGGAAATAAGATTAGGGATAACCAAATTCTATTGTTTTCCTGCTTAATTTACTTGCTGTATTTCAATCTCCAATGGAGAAATTTGACTCTCAGCATAAGCACAACATAAACAAAAGTCAAAATTAATAAGGGAAATGAAGGGAAAGGCCCAGAGAAGAGGGAAGAAAATCAATTAAGTTTGGTAGTTTAATGGGTAAAGTTGTTTTTAAATTAACAGTGGGCAACATTTTTCAAGCTAAGTGTTGCAATTGATTGTAGAAAAGCAGATAAGGGAGTGCCCTCTGAAAAGCAGTTGGGGCCAAAAGAATAATTGTTCATGACTCAATTAGAAGCAAAATTAAATCAAATTAAATTTAAATTAAATTAAATTAAATTGCAAATGAAGTATAGTTAGCACAATGTTAGATGACAATCCCTAATTGATGGGACCCAGAACATGTCCCTCTCACCTGATTTAATGACATGGTGGACACCCTGGCCCCAAACCATGAATGGTTTTTTAGAATAAATGATCACTTTCAACTATACCCAGGAGCAAATTTGGACCCAGTGCAACTTGTAAAGCAGATGTGTAACAAAAAACATTCTGGAACAACTGATGTTCTTTAGGAACAGCCATATGTAGAGTTCCTTGCATTAAGGAGGTGACCAAAGAATGAGTTACTATATACTGTGCCACCTAATCCAGGAACAGGCATAAGAGGTGCATAACATTAATCTGTGCAAAGGTTCCCCAGGCCATGGCTGCTATTCAAACAAAAACTGTGCATTGAAGATGACACCAAAATCGCATATCAATTTTGTCTTGAGTAGTGCAGCCCCATCCAGAACTAAGGATAGAAAATCAGCAGAATCAGGAGACCCTGATACTCAAAGCCACAGTGTCTTGCTAAAGTTGAGCTATGCAGACCCTGTTCATTCCCATTAAGATCTCTATTGCCTCTAGGCACTAAAACCCAATTTCTTTAATGTCATGTGGCTGTCTGGAGGCAGAGACATAAAGCTGAATATTACAGTACGTTGGTATTACCTCACCCCACGCCTTTGAATGACCTCACCCAGAGTTTTCATGTAGATGGTTGTGGAGAATGAGTCAAGCCCTGAGGCACCCCATATGAAAGGCCATGGGCAGACTTCTCCTCGCATCTGTCAGCCTTTTAAGCTAGACCAAATTAGAAAGCCAAAGGTATAAATGCAGCTACTACTTTCATTATATGATTACAATAACAGAAGCTTGCATATCTGAATATGTATCTCTCTCCCTCTCTTTGTCTTTGTGAGAATGAGGGAGGGTCAGGTCTGAAATACTTCCTCAAACTACTTTTTTGTTTTGGATTCAAATTTATTTTATCTGTTGTATTGGTCATGGTTCTTTCTGTTCCTCAAGGTTATTCCCATAGCCCCTTACATGATCACACTGATTGGAACTGACCCTAGAAGTGGAAGGAAAACCAGCATATTATGATGTCCCAACTCTGGCCAGCCAGTCAGGATTTCATGGTTAATGGTATCAATGTCATCATGTAAATGCCACAAATTAAGTAATTCATTCAGATGCTAGGCACAAATTCTGTACATCATAATGACATTTGTTTGATGATGTCTCTTTGGATGTATCATTATTTTGTTGACATCACAGATAGTTGCACACATTCCTGAAAGGGGGACTAGGAGTTACGGACAGGTAAGTTGTCCTGACTCTTTCTTTCAGAATAAAAATGTCAGTTAATTGCTAGGATTATAGTAATAGTAGCATAGGAAGCAAGACCAACTATCTTTCCTGTAATGTTCTATGGTTGCTATCCCAATTCAATGTTCCTATGTAAGTAAATGACTGGTACCACTTTTATCAGAAAAGTAATATTTATTTTCCAAGTTCCAACAATATACTTACATTTAAACTTCTCTGTACAGTGAACTGTCCTATTTATTTTCTACCTACCTATAAATTATAGCTAGCTTGATCTTATAAAAGCTTGATAAGCAAGATATATCTATTTCAAGTAAATAGAATATTACATAGATCAATAATATAAAATATGACCGGTTTCAGGAAATTCATTTTTGCCCATAAATTGTTTTGATATCATGTATCTACCCTGTTTCCCCCAAAATAAGACATCCCCTGATAATAAGCCCAATCAGGCTTGTGAGTGCATGGCAATAAGGCCAAGCACTTGTTTCAGGATTCAAAAAAATATAAGAGTGGGTCTTATTTTGGGGGAAACACAGTAATATGTACTTGCCTTGTTTCATGTTGCTCATCAATACAAAAGAGCTGGATACAAAATGCATTTACTTCTCCTTTATATATAGGATGGAAAAGTTGTCTTTCAAAACTAGTAGTAGATGGTGTTTCAGTTGCTTTCAGATCCTTACTCTGGTCACTTTCTAATGGCAGTTCTAATGAAATCTGAGCAAGTATTCCCTCTTTCTGCAATAAGAAATAAAAAAAGAGAGGCTTGGTTTCATTTATAATAGAGTGCCACAATATTATTCACAAAATCTTTGAGACTTTGTCTTGAAAAGTAGAGTACAGATATAAAACGGGTAATATGCATCATCTTCTACAGTATCTATATACGTGTGTGTGTGTGTGTGTGTGTGTAGCTTGTGTGTGTGTGTGTGTGTGTGTGTGTGTATACACACTCACTAAATATAAACTAAAATTAAATAAAATACATATTAAAGGAGGGTGAGTTTGATGTAGTGGTTAAGCTAGAAACTAACTGTGAGTCCTAGTCCCATTTTAGCCATGAAAGGCAATTGGGTATTAATCTCTCTCAGTCCAACTCTTTTCACAGGGTTGTTGTTGTGAGGAAATAGGAGAAGAATGGAGCATTGGGTATGTTAACCACCTTGAGTTATTTATCAAAATAGTAATGGAAGAATATAAATACATAAACCAAGATACCTCAAATACCTAATTTACAGAATGCCTCCCAAAACTGGGACCCACAATTCCTGTGAAATTGAAATTTGATAAATTTGGCAAATTTTATAAAACATTTTATTACATAAAAATTATCATAAAACAATTTATGATATAATACAAAATGTCATAAAACATTTCCTGTGCTGATGTTTGACTGTGGCATATAGTACAACATGGGCTATTTTCAAGGCAGAGACATCTCTGAATGTATCCCAACTTTTTTAGTGAAGTCAGTTCCGTCATTGTTGAAGGCACTGAAGAATCTGATAAGGAAATATCTCTGAAAGGAAGATGCAGTGGATCATCAGTTTTCTAGTACTTTTATATGAGGAACATCATCCCTGCTACATTTTATTTAATTAGTTCAAATTTCAGTCAACAAATAAGAAAAAAGTGAAGCTAGATACTTCCACCAAACCAATTCAGAATGAACTTTTTTGATAAGTGTCCAGTTTCAAGCAATCCATGCAATGGGATACAGTATATGCAAATCAATTCTAATAAAGACAAAAAAGGTAAGATTTTTAAAAAATTGTTTGTACCTGAGAACATGCAGCCTCAGAGATCTGTTTTTTTAGTAATGCGTAAAAGCAGGGACAAATCTAATATGGGGCTGCCCTACAAATTTCTACACGTGTAGAATTACCAGAGAATGTTGTCAGTGTGGAGGCTGCAGCATCTAATTAAACTGAAATTTTTGGAAGTTTTTAAAAATTTAAAAATTCTTATATTGAAAGTAATGCAAGAGACAAGCTATTAAGTTAACACAATTCCCTGGAAAATTTAAATGCTTCTGATATAAATCTTTATAAAGGAATAGGTTGGGAGTTTTATAGAAAATAGAAGTTTACCACTCCTAGATGGATTCAGCAATCCAAAGTATGGGTCAAGTTCAGGACAGTGGAAGGTTCTAAGCTGGCTGTGAAGCAAGTTATGAGGTTGATTTTAGCTGAAGGAAACTTTACCCAAAATGTTATACTAGCTGTATCATCCATCCATCCATCCATCCATCCGTCCGTCCGTCCGTCCGTCCATCCAAATAATGGAGCCGCCTCACTAGTCTGCCAGTTCTCTGGCATCCACACAATCAGGTACAATCAGGTCTTGAGGATCTTTGTAAAGTGAGGAATAATGGTGCCAATTTAATCTCGAGGAGAGGCTATTCAGCAATGCATCACAGCTGAGAAGGCCTTCTGTCTAGGACCCACCAAATGCAATTCCCTAAATGATGGAACTACTACTTTTTGCGAATATATCTAATACTCTTGCTTATTTTCCTCACAACAGAATTTAATTTTTAATGTTGGCCAGTATGCTCACAGTAAAAAAATGACAATAAAAGTTATGTTATCCTATCCTATCCTGTCCTGTCCTATCCTACCTTACCTTATCTTAATAACAGTCCTGTGAGGTGGGTTGGGCACAGAGGGTTGGGCACAGAGGGTTGGACACAGAGATTGGCCTAAAGTCACAAAACTAGCTTTCATGCCTAAGGGAGGCCTAGAGGTTTCCTGGTTTCTTCATCACTATACATTGGTTATCATCCTACAAGTTTTTTATCTGTGTATTTACCTGCTACTGATGTTGAAATAATGCTTCAGGCACTTGTTCTGAAAACAGCAGGGAGCCTGAGGATTTCTCACATTATTCTAGGTCTAGAAATCAAGACCCCAAAGCTCTGTTATGCGAGAATAGTGAGGCTTTGAAGATAGATGGCAGCCCTTCTACTAGCAAGGTCACAAAACAGGAGGTACTAGGAGCCTTGGAATGACTTTAATACAGGTAGTCCTTGACTGATTACCATCATTGAACCCACTTGCTCCCAGTGGTATTTGGACAAGAAGACTCTGTTTAGGTCCCTTCTTCTAGAAAATGTTACCACCAGGGACCTAAGAAATGAACCTTCTCTGCTGTCACCCGTTCCCCATGATTACAACAGTTCCAACTCTTCTGAAATTTAGGAAAACTATTAAGTTATGTTTCAGTTAGCCATTGAGTATCTCTATAAAGTGGATATCCCCTCCCCCTTTATTGTATGACTATCTATATTAGTGAATATTTGTTCAGCACAACAGGATTGCTAATTATTATGTAACATTACTATGTTATTTTAACCTTTAGTATGGATGGAGAGTACACCGCTTACTCAGTTGTAAATGAAGTTATTTATAAGCCTGAATAAATAAATAACTAGTCCAACAAATAAACAAAAAGTCCTTTATTGGGAAGGGAGTATTTTCATGGAAGAGAGAAATGAAGTAATTAATGTAATTTACTAAGAATGAAAAGTAGGGGGAAGAATTCTCCTCTCTCCTCTTTAACTTGTGTCTAACTGCTTAATCAATTATTTAAAAATGTACAGTAATTATATTAAGAAGAGAATGGTATGAGGATTGTCTGATGGGCAGAGGACAGGAATGATCAGAACTCCCACATCTATATCCTGTCAAATGTAGCTGCTACATCTTCTTTGTTTCTGAACCCTGTGCAAAAGTTTAACAAAAGTTAAATAAATTGCCAAACCCTGTGCAATGCATAGTCAGAGCAAAGGCCCAATTTCCTCAGACTTTATACAATAATATGCTAAACCTGGCAATCTTGAAGATTAGGGAGCAGACCAGTCTTTAAACAGATCAGTCCTTTCATCAGGACAAAATCAGTGGAAAGTCTTGCATTTTTATCTCTGACCATCCCATAACAGACCCTACTTTGGATAGGATTCTTAGTACATTATTATTTATGACCACCAGGTGGCACTACTTACTGAGCACTTCTGTACAATTTCTTAGTATGCATTATGCCTTAAGGCTTTTGTCTCCAGACAAACTGTAATAGAGATTTATACTGCATACCAGTAGTTGCTTCTGACCAGCAGATACAACTAATTATCAAGTAGTACATTTGATTCCTAATAGATATGCCTCCATTTGGTTTAGTAGGAACACTTTGTCCAAACTTCATGCCATGGAAATGTGAATGCTCCGTTGGATATTGGGCATCTTCCTTCTTCTTTTTTTTTTTTTATTGAAAAAGTTTTCAAATACAAGTTTTCCCCCTTTTCTCCCCCCCTCTTCCCTAACCCCCCCTCACCACCCATCCCCCCCGTGACTTCTTCACAACATTAAGCTAATTCATAACTAATTACATAATATTTTACCATTCCCTTACTCCCTCCTCAAAATACTGACCCTTAGCATAATATTCTTATAACCCCCATTTTCGCAATAATCTGCCCTTTTTCTCCTCCCCCAAACTTATAGTATATTATTACAACAACATAACATTTAATCTTTTATATATATTAATATAACATTTCAAAGCAGCCTTCTCCCCACATCCAAATTTAACATTTATTCAATTCTATCCAATTCCTCGACTCCCCTAAATATATGACTTAAAAATCCTTTTTCTTAAACTAATCAATCAGTAAACTAACCTATTTCAACCCAGTTTCCCGCAAAATTACCATACACTACAATTCTAAATATGAACCACTGCCCACTCTACTAAAATATACATATATCTGTGTATACATTCCATTTTATAAAAAGAAAAAAAGACAATAGCTTTAAATTTATAATCCATATAATATCTTCTTTGACGTCTTTCCACTGGATTGTTGAGTCCATCATCCATAACTGGGTAACATAGCATCCTGGTGCAACAGTTTGTTCAAAATCTTCAGTCATCATCTGCCCCCATCAGTAATGAATATCCTCATATATATATAAAAGTAAAAACAACCACCCGAGTGACATTATGATTATATTCCATATAGTTGTAATTGTGGTTTTCATCAGGATTATTAATTCCCATCATCCTAGTGGGTAACAACCAGATCTTCTGCATGCCCCAACATGACTCTCTTGCCTTGCAACTCGAAATAGTTATAATATATTTATCGGTAGAAGAAATCCAAAATAGATAATTCAAATCCAACAATGTAAGGCTCTTTTCACGTTCCGAAATCACGGCATTGCAGAGGTCTGCCACTGTCCTCAAGATAGTATTAAACAATACTTCGCCTCCACTATTTTCACATATTCGTTAAAAATCCCTGGCTTCGCTGTTGCTTAGTTTAGAAACTACTATTTCTATGAGATCTGTTTCTTTTCTTTTTCTTTTGCGGGTTGAATTTCCATCCTGGTTTCCTTCCTACAAATTGTGTATCAGCTAGTTGATCTTGTTGGTTTTGTTTTATTATCTCATATTTCTTTTTGGTATCTGAATATTAAACCAACTGGAACATCCCACCTAAATAGGATATTTCTTTTTTTTAACTCAGACACTAGAAAACCAAATTTCTTCCTCTCCATTAACATCTTAGGCGGGAGCTCCTTAAAAATCCAAATCTTTCTTCCACGAAATTGCAAAGTAGAACTAAAAGAATTCTGCACAATATCATTTCTTATTCCTTTATCAGTAAAATAAATCACCACATCTCTAGGCAATTGCCTTTGTTTTGCCAACCAGGAGTTTATTCTATAAATTCTGTCGATCCTGCAAAACACTTCATCAGGTTGAACCTTTAAAATCCCAGC